CAGGGTAACGCATTGGGCCGAGATAATCGCATTGGCCCCGGCATGGTTCAAGACAACATGCCGGGGCCCTCAACAACTTCCAATCGCAGACGCGTCTTTTTTATGCGCAAAACATAAACCCAGTGCACCAAAATGCCAGATTTTTTGATAATCTAGCGCCCTCCTGTTGCAGCAAATGCTCACTATTAAATCATTACTCGAGCCATTGGAAATTGATGCGAGACAGTTTGGTAGACATCGTAATGGTCCTTTCTCATGGAAACATCAAGGGAATCTGAATGACCGCTGGGTGCCACAAGGGACGAAACACTTGGCCATGCCTGAATAAACTGTTGTGAATCGTGTTTAGTCAACCCCTGAATCCGATCGCTCCGCCTCCGACGCAAAGTTCCTCTTTTTCGCAGGATGGCGCCAGCCGCGCGACTCAACCCCCCCTTCATTCACACGAATATTTGGATTATCCTCACGCCTAGGTCTCGATGTTAGCGCATCTATGACTCACGCATCCGAGGTATAGGTACACACCCGCAAACCTGACACAACGACACCAACGAGGTTGAGCTCTGAAGTAAACGGTTGCGTCCCGTCCTCTCCGGTCTTTTCCCTTCATCGCGGGTATCAGGCAAGTTTAATCGGGCCAGGGCTAATTTCGTGGCCCCGGCGTGGTTCAAGACCACATGCTGGGGCCCGCAACAAAACCATTTAAATTCAAGGTTATTAGCGTACCGTAACTTGAAGCGGTGAGCACTGGCATACGTAGATCATTGGCCCTGCTGAATTTGTCTGAAACAAAATAATTATAGCAGTTTTCAATTTGAATGATGCTGTTTGAAATTAAAAATTTCCGTGGTGAGCATTCTGTGCTCTTTAAAAATGACAAATACGCCGTATTTTACGCACGATGCTCGTTTGCATAATAGTGGTCGTTTGATTTTTGTTACACTACCTTTGCCGACACAAAATAAACAAAATTCATTTTATGCTAAAGTAACAAACATCTTTTGCAAACATAGGCATCAACGAATGGTGTCCGCATAAGTACGTTAGCTCATAATCGAAAACTAAGGTTTGGAAGGGGGCAGAAGAGCATTCCAAATTTTCTTTATTTTATTGACATTTAGTCACCAGGATACGTCTGTGATGACATTAAAACCAATTGGTTATTTGAAAACACAATAGTGTTTTGGCGAAAATGAATTTTCGTTATGTTGCAAACCATCTCACTACGATTCCATCAAGTTAATTTATATGTTGTGACCCTTGTGGGCGTTATCGCCTACGGTCTCCTTATTTTCGTATCAATTAACAAAAAGTCTGCTTATGATATCGTGATTGGTCAGCTTTTATCCCAAAGGTAGAGTTTACTAAAATTATATCACAAAGGTTGAAGTCACATGAAGTTCATGCCATTTTTTCTCAAATTCACACCTCAAAAGGATAATATAATTATTTGAAGCTGAGTGGAATATTTTTCATAAATTAATCCATAGTACACCTAGTTAATACCTTCGTTCCGTGATAGGGATCACTTGTAATCTCATCAAATTTTTGAGAAATCTTAATTCGTAACATATTGCGGTTTAAAAATAATCATGGAATCAACCAATAGTAGTAATACAATTGGTGTATGGTATGGCAACGAATGAATACAAAGTCATCGCCTATCGACCCAATAAGGCACGTATAACAGGGAGTTTAATAAGAGAACCAAATGTGACTGATGACTAAACTGTTTTTTGCTTCACTAAGCCAAGTCACATATGGTTAGCATACACGGAAGGGGTGAAGTCGCAGCAGATGCAACTATGATTGTCCGATCAATGCGTTTATTGCAAGAGTGAAAATACAGATGTCGAGACTACTCTGATGAGTATATAGCTGTCACCTTAACTCACGGTTTCCGATGCACCGCATGCGGGTTTTTGATTTGTCGCGTGGCTATCGAAGCTAGGAGTAAAAGGTCTTTTTGGGTGAACTAATAAATACCTTTGACCTCCGGTTAGCATACTTCTAGTAGTATTCTGCTAAAATGATTAGTTTCATGTTTGATGAACCGCAAAGATCAGAGAGTGGCTTTCGTTGTAGTTAATGAATGAAGGCAAACATGACATTCTCATCGCATGTTTCATGCCATAAAAACAGCAGACGGAGACCGTACTAATTGCAGATCTAATGCGTGCCTTAGTCACAGATAACATATTTATTACGTTCTCCAATTTCATGAAACCACTGCCAAGCTTATTCATTTAATGAAATTTTTAACGGATGAAAAATAACGTTACACAGAGCGATTCAACTTTTAGCCGACGGCGACTACTACCTTGGTAATTTGATGTGACATTTTTCATGTGCCAATAACACTGAAGAGCCCTTATTGGTGTGTTCATGGGTTAAAGGCAAACAAAAACACGATGTCTTAGAGCAATGTTTTTGGAGTTTATGTTGTCTAGATCTTATTGAAACGCCTGAAGCCACTTTACAAGTGTAGCAATTTAAAATTTCAGTTTAGCCGTAAATGCCGTACTTTATTTTCATGTTCGAATTCATATGCAGCGTCGAAAACGTTGACGACATGAATCGTTTCCCACGGTCTTGGTATTGACCACAGCGTGACTATTTTTACAGGCTCGATATGCAATTCGAGACCGATGTCCGGCTTAAGTGCTCCTTCTCACATTGTTGTCAAGTCTGAAATGCCTGAATTTATGTTCACATAATAAGGGGGATCTACTTTCTTGATATCACAGAAAAGGCTCTCCACAGAACGCAACTTTCTGATATAAAACCCTTCTGACATGTTTTGGAGCTAAGCATTCAGGTGGCTTTATGCAAATACAATTTTGAAGGTTACTATAACGCACTCAAAGAGTGACTGAAACACCGCCTTTCCTGCGTTGTTTTAGCGTCATCTTTTGATGTATTTGCGTTCACTCTGACTTACGCATTACAGACCAGAATCTGAAAGAAGCGGATGGCTTTGCCTGTCATAGTACGTGACCACAAAATTGGTGAAGGTCATTTGAAGTTCAGTCTAGTAGGTGGACAAAGGTGCTCGTGACGAGGAGGTCGAGAATTGGGTCCTCTGCATGGGCTGACTTACAAAAAGTTTGCTTTTGCATTGTCCCCAATGTAATGCAAAATAAGACAACAATAACTTTTAAAAAGTAGCTCATGTTCTTAACAAGACTTCATTTTAAGGAGAAACATACTATTTGCAACTCGTATACATGTGATGAAAATAGTTCCTTGCACTTTCCACGAGAGAACTATGTCTTTATCACCTTCCCTTGACAGGAATTTATTGTTTTGTGATTTATTTCATCTATGTAGTTACCAAGACAGAAACCTGTCTACAGAGATCCATCTTGCAGCCAAGAGATGTGGTACCAACAGTGAATTGGCCACCACTACCGACTACGTCAATACATCAGAGGCCTCGACGACTAAAATGCAGTAGGTAGAAATCCTTTCAACAAGCAGTGACCGAATAAATGAGGAATTTGTAGGTTTTTTTCTTCCAGTCTGACTCCTGTAAAATCCATATAATGCACATATTACCATATTCTTCTTTGCAACAAGATACATTTCTTAAACTTCATCAGGACAAAGGAGCCAGACCAAATTTTGCAAAAAAAATTAACAAACTCCCATTTCGTTTGGATGAAATTAGTATAAGGTCACATTCAAATCACAAACTTCCCCCCAGCTTGAAATCAGTAAGCCATCAGTAAAGACGATTCTGCACAGTCGTACATATTTGTTGTCAAATTAATAGTATTCTGGCCACGGATTTCAGAGAGCGCACTTAACTAAGTGCTCTTTCTGTTCTTTAGTCAACATTATTACAAAAACATTAACGAAGGTACTTAGTATTAATGTGTCTTAAAAGCTAGGGCAATTTTCGAAGCCATTCACTAGTTGTGTTATTGGAGGGGACACATTGAACCGAAAGCCAGCTTTTGAAAGGGATTATTTTTGTTTACATAAAAGATCCTCTGAAGCTTCTTCACGTCTAGAGTAAAACTCTCAGGCACAGATTCATCTCGAAATAGTGTGGTGGACAAAGAAGTCAAAGGCATAGAAAAGATTCACGACAGTAAACCTCTAACCACATTTATCATTGAGATCTTACAACTGAGTGCTTGCTTTATTGCGGATCAAAATCATGACTTGTAATCAAACACAAGGAGAGTTAGTGTGAGTCAGTTGGCTGAAAGTGACTTTGACCCGTGTCGAATTCGATAGAAATGAGTGGTGGCGATTAGGGCTGCACCGATGAAGACCAGCACGAGGCCAGACACCATCACAAAGAGCGGGAAGGTTTGTCTGCCCATTCGGTTGAGTACCATGCCGGCTACAGCCTGCAGCATGCTGGCGCCCACAGAACTGCCTAGATTGACGAAAAAAGCGATGAGGCCAGTTACGGTAGTGGCGGTGCTTATAACTCCCAGGCCTGTGGGGAAGAGAGGGCTCTTGAAGAGGCCAAAGCACACTGTGAAGGACAAATACATGGTCCAGGTGGGGGGCGCCAGGTAGAGTCCGAGTGCCATTGCCCAAGCGCCGATCAACTGAATCGCGAAGACACAAGGCAGTGGGATGAACAGACTGACCGGCACTGTGACGATTCGGGCGAGAGCAAAGACAATCCAGTAGACGCTAGTGAGGAGGAAACAGTCCTCTTTGGAAATATGCGCCGGACCCTCATTTGCGAAGACAAAAAGGTACTTGGAGAAGACTCGCTCGTTACCGACAAGGGCTGCGTAGAGGAAGAAGGTTGGTAAAACGATATACACGAGGATATTCTTGTGGGCCGCGAGCTTCTGGCATCTGGATGGAGTTACAACATCGTTGTCATCATCTGATCTTGCGTCAGATTCTTCCTCGCCATTTTCCTTTTTACTTAGTTCCATGGGGTGCTTTAAGAAAAAAACTTGGGGAATCATGAAGAATTAATAAAAACACACTAGATGCCACACTTGCCATGGTACTGGTCAAAGGCTTGTTATAAATTCCTCAAGTTTACAAAGGACAAATTACTGTGTTCCCAAACGGTTATACAGTTAACCCACGTTGATATCGATTGGCTCATTTATCTTAAAGTCACTGCCACGGTTACTCATTATGAAAATCAAAAAATAAAGTTGAAACCGTCAAAGTGCCGAAAATTTGACTCGTGGATTTTATGTTTTTAAGTGGAGTCGCATGAGAGTAGTCCAACAGGAAATTCATAGACACGCAGTCAGGTTTGAAATCAAGGAGGCAACATCAGCAGGTCGATCTAACGTTGCAAAAACCTGCTCCAGTTGACTCTTATTGTCCAACCTCACGTGTCATTCACGCCGAGATTTTAACGCCACTGAATTAGTAAGTAAAATTGTCAAGCAACGATAAATCAAAGTATTTATAGCATATTTTCGCACAAGGTACAACGGAAACCGACAAAAGGATTTCCTACATTAGGCATACGTTGTGGCAATTGGTATCGAAAAACCTTCATAGGCTTCTGTTGACAACTTTCTGATTCTGCTTAACTAATCCGCGCTAGAACTGACTTGCATCTTAATTCAGATTTTTGATCTCAACTAGGACAATTTCGCAATCAACCATGTGCGAACACACCAGTCCAATTCTAACCACACACTTACATGCAGCCCACAGTAAAAGAAACAAGGATTCCTGTTTTGTCATCGTTGGAGCCATTTGTGAATTATTAAACCACAGCTAATCGATTGATTGAAATCTCAGTTTAATATGGTTGTAAAAATACCCACAGCGACTCTGGCCCGGGATTTGCAGAGGTTGAAAAACCAAAACAGGCCAGCGCAAATGCAACATAAGCCCGCAATAATGGCGTAGGGGATGCCCAAGCGGACTATTTTCTTAGTTGAAACGGTCCCATTTATGCCAGTCTTCACCAGCTCAAAGGTGAAGGGAGCCAAGAAGCCGGGTGCGAGCGCGGCGCCCACGCCGTAGCCAGAGTGCATAAAGTTGAATGGACCGCCCGATTGTTTTAGCCAAATGGAGTTCAACAGTGTGTTACCATCTAAGAAAGGGAGGGGCAAAGGAGCAAGGTGAAACAGCGCGAAAGATGTCAGCCAGTAAACAAAATTGGTCACTTTACCCGTAGAAAAGACTTTAAGCAATTGGTAACTTCAGAACTCATGTATAAAGCCAGTGTCTACTTCATTGTGGCTTATTGTTTTAAAAAAAGATTTAATTGCAAAGATGCAATACAATGGCAGGGCGTTCATCATTCCAAAAAGGCTTTGGGTGGTGCGACCTTAGAAGGATCCTACCAAGACGATTTTGGTAGATTGAAAATTGCAACAATTGACCATTTTTTCCTTACACACGATTAGCATTTTTTGTTTTACCTAACCCGCAAAGCTGGCAATGACAATTATGGTCAATTGGCTCTTCTGAATGTCTGGTAGTAGTTAAAGCGGATGTTTGTCTGAAAACATTATAATCAAAAAAATATTGAGGAGTCACTATCGTAGTAGTTAAGAGATTTCATCTGATTTATACATAATGACTTTGAAGTAACCAATGCAACGTCGCCCATTATTCCTTCCATCTTTTACCAGTCCATAATGAAGTCAGAAATTGTAGCAAGCTAACTCCTAATTGAAGTTACATCGTTTTTGTCACACATCGTCGGGACTCTTCTCAATTTCTTCCTAATACTTCCAAAACGCAACACAATCTTTTCGAGCCCCGGAAATAGTGAATTCAGAGATATTTACGCATTTTCCAACCTCTTGATTCATTCACACATCAGGTAGTTGGTGCATTTGAGTGATGCATATAGTGATTCAGTGGATTCAAAATTTGAGCCAAGTGGGGTTATGTGTGGACAAGGAATGGAATAAACTTACTGGCAGTCATCGCACCATGGGCGCATCCTGATAAGAAAAATGTGGCGGACAGAGCTGTAACAGTTGTACACCAGGGCACGGATCCAATTGTCACAGCCCCAAGAATGAGGGTGCAGGACATTGCTAGATGCCGCCACTGCACAAACCTATCAGCCACAAATGCACCAACCAGTGAACCAAAGAACATTCCCAACTCACGAAGCGAGAAGGCTATTCCAATCAACTCCGTGTCCGAATTAGTTACGGTAATGTAGGTTTGTAGAGATGGCCCCAACACCTCAGCATACAATCCCTGTATCCGAAAGGAACAAGATTACTCCTGAATTCTAGAAAACAGGCAATTTACGTTGGGTATTAAGAGGATAAAACTGATCGACAAGATTGAAATTAGTTTTGTGTAATGAAAATATAACCTACCACACTTTAAATTACAGTACCCTAGAGTGTACCTCCAAGGGTTAAATTTCAGCATTCTAATTGAAATAAAGTGAATACGACAGCCTAGAATTTCTCAGCAATGACTATCGTCAGGCCTCACATCCTTAATTAGGGCAAAATTATGTCATCGTAAGATCAGCCATCTGATACAATTCTCAGCACAGCAAGGCACCTCTAAGGTGCTACCGAATCATCGACATCAACATTTTCGCAACGAAGCCCAAAACGAATTCAGTGACTTTGAGATTCTGTCGGTTTTACGAATCATTGCACCTAGAGCCAGTTACTCCATCCAAAAGACTAACAAAAAGCAATTATAGGCAAGTACAAATGTTCCAAAACAAGTGTAGTTTAACCGACAAACATCAGTAAAAAGGTGGAAGATTAGGGATGTCAGTTCTGAGTAAAATGAATGAAAACGGAGAAAAACGGAAATGCCATGTTGTAAAAAATCAGCAGCAATAGCCAAACTAAGCATGCATTATTTTTTGAGCTGTCAAAGATGAATTTGAGCTTGACCTCTACGTTGTTACTTTTTGAAAAAAAGAACATTTATGTGATGGTAGACTCATGTCTTCAATCTATAGCATTTGAAATTGTTTTTTCCTTTGATTATCATTCACATTAACGACAGCAGCCGAATCACTGAATTTTAACCCAGTCCTCCACAGACAAGTTAACTTATATCTGTGAGCGTCAATATAATCATAGGCGAGAACGTTTCACGCAATTGCCCTACGTGCACTCCAAATATAGCAATACCTTCCATAATTTAGCAAACTCCAAAACCGATCATTGCGTAAGTCTGCAGATGGAACACAATGAAGCAAAATCAATCATAAAGCACACGTCTGTAAACCAGCTCTTCTTTGACTTTGCTTTAATATGGCTCAACCGACTGAATTAGGGTACGCACTTTTGCAGAATGGGGCATTCCAGAGAAGCTTCGGAGTGATTAATTGAACAATATTGTTCAAACCTCCTAACATACCTGCTGCCTTACTTCACAAGATTTCGAGTGCAAAGTGCATGAAAAAATAAAAAAAAACCTACCAGACAACACCAACTCAAAAAGAGAACTGTCGTTTTTAGAATGCGATTTCTGATGGTGTTCCTTGCACTGGGTGAATTGCTTTCATGGCTAATAATCTCAAAGTCGCCTTTTGAGTTTTCGTCCACATCTCGATTTTCCATGTCTGGTCTATAAGAAATAGTGCTTTACAGACTGAAATAATTGATGTAACAAATTCATCCTAGTTTATTTAGTTAAACTAATCTTGAAAATAATCTTGAAAAACCAAGCCAGAAAAAGCTGCACACAAACCAGAACCCAGCCACTAGGTGTTAACAAACAAAAGCAACTCTAACAAAGTCCATACGTCCTATTTTTAAACAGCAAAACGACCACGTCCATCTATTCATACAATTGAATAGATTTTCGAACACGATTCCTATCGCACAAAATTTAGGAAAATGAAATATCAGGTCCCGATTCCGCTAACAAATTTAAAAGCAACCATACAAACATAATACCATCAATTCACCAAACCGGTAGTGGCCCTAAAAGGAGATAATGAAATCCTCAAATCAACGAAGTCACAAAAAAGCCAAAATCGAAAAATAAAAAGAAATACAGAAAGTGGCAATTATACATAAAACTCAGCAGTATACAATAATAAAACAACACTGCGACAGTAAGCGAACTAATTTGTCTATGACACAGAAAATATCTGAAGGTATTATACTTGAAAACGAGCAACATTTCCGGACATCCACGTGCAATAGACAATTTTCGCAAAACGAGTCACAGACCTACCAGCTTAAATTAATGTCATTAAGAAATAAAACCAGAAAAACAAAGTTCCCAAAAGATGGGAGACAAATTAACCCCAAACCAAAAAATCCGAACAGCTAAAATCAAATTCCCACTGCTCTTTCTCACTGAAACTTGTCCTTGCTTGTGATCTTTTTATGGATTAGAAGTGTTAAAAAAATAGTTTGATGTGTTTTTTGCGTTATTTAGGAGTTGCTAATTTTATGCATGGAGAAGTAACAGAATATCGCATAAGAATATTTCTTGTTTACCACTGTCGAAAACATTGAGACAAATTTGGAATATAACCTTTCACAAATTCTATTCCATGAGACATTCAAATATTTAAGTATAGACTATTCACGATCCGCCTATTGAAACCGGTCACTATCATTGACGCGGACAATTTAAAAACTTGGGTTCCTTCCCTAAGAAATGCTTTTTTAATAGTTTGTCTATTAGGCAACTTGAAATTGTGCCCATTTTTGCTCATTTTATTTAAGCATATCTCAATTCATTTCACCTGTCAGGAAAACCAAAATGTTCGCAGGCTTTTAATGACCCCTGGTCACATTTTCAGCAAATGTCATTGGATAAAAAAGTTAACCTTCAATGGACGGTCTTACAAACTACAGTTGTCATTCATGAGTCTTTCTGAGATAATTCAGTCTATTTCACAAGCTTTAGCCTCTGCTGTTTAGATTAGCCAAAAAGGCCTGAGGTTCGCCTAGCTTACTCTAAAAGCATTTGTTGTCATCCGTGTAAACTAGGCTTTTTTGCCATTTATCAATTTGGAACAATATATTAAGTGACATCCATTTGAACCTACCGTACAGGCTACGTTTCCCATTGTATAGTGGTTATTGTGGGTACCTTGCTTTTGTTTGCCACTCCTTTTTCTTATTCACCCATTAAGATAACAAGGATTGGGAAAAATCATTTAAGCTCGAAGTTTTCCAATACGGCTGCACCTCTCCCATTATAATTTGGGCTTTGAAAAAGATTAGTACAACAGAATAAACTTTATTGTTCTATCGATGATATAACCACACGTTAGGCGAAATCCATCCAAATCCTCCACAGTGGCTGTGGCACTCATTTTATTGTGCACCTCTGTCCCTGGTTGGCTGCATATCTTTCCTGCATGCCATTCGAACATAAAGCGACAAGGCATTGGCTGAGGCCAGCTTAGTGTAATGTGTCTGCGCCCTTTTGTGTCGCTCTAGTTTTTTTTTTTGATGTGGATTATTTAATCTTCGTAAACGATCATTCACCAACTTGTGTTTCAAAGATTAGTTTGTTCATATCAGATTATGCCAAAACTGCCCTCAGGCTATGCTTGGCTTCGATCTCGTTTTCTACATCAAAGCAAAGAACGGTAATGCTGGTTTGATTTTTTTTACTGTTTTATTATTGACAGGCACCAAGCATTTATATTGCTGCTTACATTTGCTGTTTACACATTATATCATGCGTCAAGAAAGCCACTGAGCGTTGTAAAAACTGTATTTCACAAAACGTGTCCGCCGATTCCTGACAAGAATTCACATTGGTGCCAATGGAAACCCTTTGGTAAAACTTAAGTAAAATTAAGTTTCATTCTTTAAGACGGAGATAATTGGAGCCAATTGATTGGCAGCTTGGAGTATGTGTATCTTGTTTGTTATGCTTTCGCGATGTTCCCTTGGTATGTCTATTCCATTTGTTGAGTTTTTAGTGGACATCTTGCTGAACGATTGAACTTGCGCTTGTTTCTTTCGTTTGGTATGGCTGCAAGCGGCCTCACAACCATTTTATTTGGACTTGGTTACTACTTTAACATTCATGTTTTTGTATTTTACTTCGCCGTTCAAGTATTTGCCATTCTTTATAAACTTACCAATTAATCAGATTCTTGGTGGTTTCGTCCAAGCAACTGGATGGCCTGCTGTTGTTACAATACTGAGCAATTGGTTTGGCAAGGGCAGGCAAGTAGGATTTTTTTACACTATATACAACTTTTTTTTTCTCATCCGGTGTCTCGTTCTTTTAGGAGAGGCCTTGTAATGGGTGTTTGGAATGCACACACCAACTTTGGTAATATGCTGGGTTCTATAATTGCCGGTGCCTTTGTGAATTATCAGTGGGGTGCATCGTTTGTAGTTCCTGGCCTTCTTCTTGTTATTGCTGCTTATATAGTCTTCCTAGTCCTTGTGGAACATCCTGGTTCTGAACTCAATCTTGTATCGTCGTCAACCCGTACTTCTGAGGCGCACCAAAAAGTAGTACCTGGCTATTACGGTGATGTAAAGGTATTTACAGATAATTGCCCTATTTTTTTTAACCGTTTGGCTATTTAAAACCTCTTAGAATTTAGTTTTGAATGCACCTCTTTCAATCGGTTTTATCTGCTCGAAAGGAAGCGCTGTATATCTGCTACTGATTATTGTTGTTTCAGTTTATTGGCCTGAAAGTCGTCCTGCCTGTTTTGCCATATAATCACTGTGATGCCTTTAACCATCATTTATTTGTATGGTTTTTGTTTACCCTTCATATCTGTTTCCTACAAGTGATAGTTGTTCGTTGCCTGTTTAATGGCTGTATTCTTATCTGCTGCTCTTGTTTGCCTTGCTTGAATTGGTCAATTTATTCTGTGAATGTCGTTATAAGGACTTTTATCGTTTGTTTTCAAACAGACTCTTTCAGATTTAAACTACAAAGAACAACCCATATCATTTTGTGATGCGCTGTGCTTACCGGTGAGTTCTTATCTAGCATATGCTGGAACGTTTAATTACTGAATCTAGACTTATTTGAAACCTTAGGGAACTGTATGGAATATCAGTGAGTAGATTTTATCTAAACGTTTACTTGAGGCCCAGACAACGAGCAAGCGTTTTCTCCTTTTTTTTGTACACGCAACTTGGCACATAACTGCAGTAAATATAGACATCAAATTGGCATTGTTCCTAAGATTTACCATAACCACCTGACATTAGATTTCTTGTGGTGGTAGCCAAGGTGTTCTGACATGATTCGCACAGGGTCGCATAGTAGCAGTCGATGGAATCCGGATCATATGTCAATTCTTACTTTAAGTCTCCAAAATGTCAAAAAAACTATTGGTGCATAAAACTACAGTTGTCACTCAAAATTCAACCAGGCGTATTCCTTAGCAATGTCGTCTCGAAACTCACGTTTAATGTTGCCTTGCCTAACTGAAAGTAGTTTTGTTCGTGTCTGCATCATAACCAATGAGAATTACTTTGTCAGCACGCTGCGTGTCTAAATTCCTACTTTAGAACGTCATGGCATACTCATTGGCCCTGTTCTTCTCGAAGTTGGTGGCTTACACTTTTCTCTACTGGCTCCCCAACTACCTGGCCAACGTTTCCAGTGTAGAAGTTTCTGCAGAAAAGGCCGCATGGTTGTCGACAACTTTTGACATCGGTGGAATTTGTGGGGGCATCCTAGCAGGTTTACTTAGTGATAACGCTTCGGTAGGTAATTTTATAGTGCCTCATGGTGGTTCTAGTAAGTCAGATGTTTTATTTGTGACTAAAAAGGTAGAAAACCAAGGGATTTCTAAGTGATAGTTCAGTTCGTAAATTTCGCCAGTCTGTTGGCAAACTTGGCATTGCAGCTGCCGAGCATAATGCTAGCCTTTGGTCCCTACATGGCCTCCATTCAGGTACGTAGTCTGTATTAACGATTCCTGGCTGGAAACACAACCTCAGCGATGGAAACAATGTTCAAAAAAGTTAAATATTTAGTTTTGCATCTAAGGAAGAACAAGATATTTAAATGTGGGGAAAGTCAGTCATCTTGGGTATATAATTTATGAATACTGGTGAGGAAATCTATCCCGCCCGAAGACAGCCACTCCGTATCTGCTTTAGCAGGTCGAGGTAACATTTTCATTTGTTTATAACTGACGGAATCATACCTTGTGGCATCAGATTCAGGCAAGCAGGAAGGACAGGTCGGGCGAAAACTTTGGTTTTTTTCAAAGTAACCGCTTCCTCAGATTTTAAATGCATTGAGTGATTTGCGCCATTACGTGAGGTGAAAAAAAAGGCATATTGTGAAAGTCCACTAGCATGAAATGCCTGTTGATTTTTTAAAGTGAAAATGTTGGAAGTGTTGTTTCACACGCTTGCTGAAACTTATGCGTCAATTCCACATTTGATGGAGGATATTGGTCACCTTTTCTACTGATGAGGTTTACAGGTGATAAAGCTTCCGGACGAGGAAACGGCATCTTTTTGGGTTCATGTTTATCGAAGCGCCTTTGGGTAGCTTTCACGCTTCAATGATACATCCTCTACCGGCGTGCTAGCGACGAGGAAGCGATCGGTGCGTGTCCAACGTCGAGTGCATCTTTGGGCTAAACTGACCAAAGTAAAGCCACGAGAAGTATGCAGTAGCTAATCAGCAGGTAATTGCGAGATCAGGCTAAGCCTAGCATCTCTCACCAGATCCTCTCAGTTGCCACGACGGAGGGCTGTGCGTGATGGGTTGAATGACGACATCGTGATTGAGCGCGTTGGTGTTAATTGTTATTGTGAGGCTTAGAAGGCCCACCAGTGTGTGCCTGCAAATAAGACTTGTCTGGAGCGCCATTTCTTGGTGGGTTGGAACTCTGCACAGTAAAGCATAAACATGACGTAATCAGTCAGTTATTTATTGCTGCCAGTTATTAACCTTTTGTACAACGCCTAATCCGTCGCAGCAATATGCATTCGATCGGGAGTTTGTTTTCGATATAATCCTAGCCCTACAATTCAGCCGTCATGCCCTCACTCTACCCGTCGTGACCTTCGGTAATGCATTTGAAGTGTCTGATAGAAGCATTGGCTGCTCAGTCTTCATGTGATCATTTTTCGCTTTGTTGATTTCCCACGCGGGTTAAGTAACTGTTTTTCCCGTTCATTTTAGTCGGAATCTGGTGCGTCTCCCCATGAGTCTTCCTCGAGAACTATTTATCTTCGTGCTGTGACTTGTGCTTCGATGCTTTCCATGGCGGCTCCAACTGTAAGTCGCGCCATGTTGCAATATTTTGTGGCCGTTTTTTTACATTTCAGTGCTGTTATTGTCCATCTGATTTTTTTTCATAGATATCCACGTCTAAATTTTTGTGCTTTCTACACGCATTGGCTGTTTCGGTTTTTCATGTCAACTCCTTCAACGCCCTTTTCTTGAGTACTCCGGTTGACTCATCTAGTCCAATAAAAGGACACTTGTATCATCTACTGAGTGACTAATTTACCAAGCGATTATTCACGCGTAGTCGCTTTAGTTATTATCATCTAAACTAATACCATAACGTCATGGGCTAGTTTTCCATTGTAAATGGGGGTGATGCTGCGTGCAGGTTTATTCCGTAATGCTACAACTCTTGGTTGTTGCTGTATTACAAAATCAGTTTCCAAAAAAACACTAAACGTACTTTATTTGTTTGTCTCGAATTTTTTTAAAAAAAAGGAGCACGCCTGTTTGCTTGCCTTACGAAGTGTTTTTGTGCCGTGGGTTGTGAAAGCAGATTGTATCGATGTGTGAAATCCGTATCAGGGGTCAGAAGGCCACATGGCGATAACGTAAATAACCTAATCGCAATGTCAAGTGAGATAGGCGGAGTGAACTCTCACAAACGATACCGCTTTCAAGTCAATTCTGCCCTCTGCAAGCCCCGATGACTTAAGGCGACTTGCATCGATTATTTTGATCTTCCGGTAGTTTTTTTGAATGCGATTTCCGATTTCACCTCCACTTCAGCACCGTTGGTCTTAACACCTACAGGCGATCTGCGTTTTCCCCGGCTTCTTTTAATTTTTTTCAAGTTATCTCCTGCCTGTTTCTTTTTTCCCAAGTCTCTAACCTGCGTGGAATTTGGTTTTGTTAAGCTCGTTGTTTTAACATCGATTTTTGAATGCTTTGTTTCCATTTTAGCTATTCTTTTACCAGGCAATTGCTGCAAGCATGTCATTCTTGTCGCTTGGTAAGTCAATATCAGCCCATAGATATTAATCTGGGTGTATTAGCTACGATAACCGCCTGTCGCTAGTATCAAGTAGTAGCTACTATACCGACTTAATTATATGGAGGCATTAGGTATCCGTGAAGTTAGTAAAATATAATTTTTTGCCAGTTGACATTATGACTGAATCTCGCTTGTAATTTTAGTGAAATGTAGTCATATTGTACTGGCAACGGCTCTGTCAAGTCTTCGCCGAATTATCGTCGCGAAAGACAATATACCGAACCGTATCCCTAGTTGTAATCTGTAATATAAATTCCTCGTTTTGCCTATTCTTATAACGGAATCATCTATCAAGTCTAATCGTGGATTTCTTAGATCTGTGTTTCCTCACCAAAACCGAAACCTCTATTCCATAACGTCAAGCAGCGAGTTCCGCTATAGTTTCAACTTTAAAGCTAGTACGACTGCACACTCGGAAAAAAGTTGAGTCGCGATTATTGTTTCCAAACACTTGCATTACCATGGATCCTTATGCACTGAACCTCTGTCTTCTGCATGTACGTGTGCGCGTCTAATTAATGTTTTAGCAAGCCTAGCGGCCGTAGAATTACGTGGATCAAGTCCATGATCCGTGTCGCTTTAGTGATTCCCGAGAAAGATTTTACCGATCAGTTTTCCTTATGAGCGTATTATTTATATTTGGTTGTTATTGGCTTAGCAGCATTACAGCATTGCTTCATCTGGAATAATTTAGAATACGTCAAATATCGAGTAGGCAGCTGCAATACATCCACTGTGCCGCGCTCTATTAGCACTTTCATTTTTTCAACAACAGATGCGCACGTGTTTCCGCGTAGCGATCATTCTTGGTATTCTGTGGGTCCTGCAGTTCGCGTTAAACATCCGGTCGGCTGAAATGTCCCAGCGCTCGCAGCTACTGCCACGTGTAAAAATGCATAAACTGAACTTTCTCTCTGTACCAAAGAATCGATTCTAAATCTTCCAAAGTTTCTGGACTGAATACTAAGTGATAAGAGAGCGCTGTGATTAAGAAAATTACACCACGTGTTCGACGAAGTTAAGGTCGCGTATAACCGAAGGGCCGCACCATCTGTGTGGTGTAATTTATGAAGATTGTAATTTGAATGTGTGCCAGACGTGCGATCAATTGTCTTCTATCACCTAGGGCTCTTTTTGCATCTTCCTCAGGCAATTCAAAAATCGCATTCGAATCCGCCTTCCAGGCTAATCCTAGACATTTAGGCTTTGCCGTTATTTTTTTGTTACTTGAAATGACATCAACATTGATTGTTTTCCCCCACAAGTTGTCCTTTTTGTGTGCGGTGGTTTGGTGACGGGACCCTGTGCGCTAATCACAACAGCGGTGTCCGCTGACCTCGGAACCCAACCAAGTCTCCAGGGCAACTCGAAGGCCCTAGCCACCGTCACGGCAATCATCGACGGCACCGGCTCCCTTGGTGAGTTCTGATCGCTCTGATCCAGGGATGTTAGTGTGTGTCCTAATTGATTCTCCCTGTTATCTGACCTATTCTAGAGGACCACCAAGTGGTCTCCCCAAAAGGTATCTACTTGCTAGTACAATTGTTTTCGAGTGTTAATGTTAGCTGTGCCACTATGGGGAACGATTTTGTATTGATAAAACGAGAAATGCGTATACTTAAAATTCGGCCTCTCGATTACTCTACATTTTGCAGTTATTTGGCCTTGGAGACTGCAAAACGGTGTCAATTTGGTTTTTGTGAAAGAGCCCACACACTTCACACCACATGCGTTCAAAAAGTATGTCATGGTGATAGTGTAAATGTGAATAAAATGCTGTCCGATTCGTTTGTGCGTTGTGTTAATGAATGTAGAACCTGTGTCATTTCGGGGTCTGCTGTATATCACATTTTAAAGTGGACGTCTAAGTACCACACGGCGTTGGGGAACTGCATTTTGGGCTACCGACTTGCAAGCGTTGCGAGGCCACTTGAGGCATGTTGTCTGTTTCTGTGTCCAGGGGCAGCCTTGGGTCCTTTCCTTACGGGCATTCTGGTGTACTACGGCTGGCACGCTGTCTTCATGATGCTCATCACCGCTGACCTGATAGCCCTTGCAATATCCCTAATGATCGCCTGCAGGAGTCGAAATGGCGGTGTTTTCCGATTGGGCATTCTTAACCTTCGATCAATATTTGCGCTGTGAGTGTTCCTCTTACCCCGTTGCGCGTTCATCACGCGCCCCCACATCATATCATTCGCACTTTTAATTTGGTGTGTGCTTTTTAACGTCGCTTTTGAAAAGTAATATGTGGTGACAGAAACATCCACTTCTGTTCTAACATCACTTTGTGGACGGGTGGTCGGTGCACTCTCACGAGAGGACGATCATGGTCGCAGTGATCAGCGAATTGTCCGGAAATGTTGGTCTTATGACACCTCAAAATTTTCACAACCCATTGTGTAAATTCGTGGGTAAAAGCTAGCAGCAGTCACACCGATGGCAACCTTCGCAGACTCCGGTCCGTAACTGGCTTAGATTTAAGTGCGTAAGGCGAATGCTTAAGGACGCGAATTTCATTCTGAATTTCTAGTCTCAAAAACAATATTTAAATTGCTGCTTATCCGAGTTACGTAGACAGTCCTTAAATGTTGTATACTATCTACGGGAGGGAAAAATTCCAGTAGGAAAATTCAAAGTCCCTGAATAAAAAGAACGCGGAGGTAGTCGAGTGACTATTTAGGCGGAGGTCGGTTCTAACAAAGGGTTCATGAAATACCTGCCAAAGTGGCCTGTACTTGCAATTATATTGCATATTAAGATTACTTGGAATATTTCAAATTTCGCAAACGCTGACGGTTCTTTGCAGTGTTTAGAGTATACCTAATGTGACAATTGTAATTTGTGGAGGTTCAGTTGTAAGATCTTCATCAATGCAACAAATAATGTGAACAGGGTCGCATGCCTCAGCTTTTCTGAGGAGGAATGCAACGCCGCATGTCCGTGGATTGTTATCCACACGCACACATTCACTGGCGACTAGTGGACTTCGATTTATCAAAGAAGGGCATCTTTGTTTAATGACAATCACTATTGTAACCCTGACAAGCCATTAACGATATTAGCTAACCCGATTTCGGTTGTAAGTGTGAAAGAAGCACGTGGAGGAGAGCTCATGTTAAAAGTTTTTAACTATTAGAGGGGAGCAATTTGGTGTGTGCCATCTTGTAGTGAATTTTTTTGCAGCATCCCAATTGAAATCTGTAAACGGATTCAGTTCTTGCGTTGCAATTGATCTGGGACGGCCATAAGTGATGATTAGGAGTCACACAAGTGGGATTTTTGTTCTCAAAGTCAATGCCAGCGAGATCCACTTTTACCAGTACCTGATCCGCGATCAAGCGTTGCTGGAATCAAAGCCTAGTGATTCGAACGTTTTCGTGTATGTTCAATATGCGGATTAAAATAGCTTAGACACCGTGATACCAGTTGTGATATTTGGAAAACGGCGAACCAGATTGGGCAGTCACGAACTATGTGTGGTTCGAAAGGAATCGTTTGATCGTTCAAGGATAAGGCTAAATTTTGTGAACTACAACGAATCAAGGCTTCATAAAATTGTGGGATTTAGTCAAATATGTTGAAGGATAGTTGGATGTACGGAGGGTCAGTCAGAGGATTGGTTTATTCAGGTAGGGAACCAACTTATAAAACAAAAATGGCGATTCACAAAAGTCAGCCGACGTTTTAGTGCCCGCTGACGACCAGTGATCCCGCAGTATTGGCCAACCAACTGCCTAACCACTGAAATTACGAAATTGATTCGACATCTACCTCCGTATGCTTCATTGGGAATTATTTGAAATCTTTTTGATCTACCACATCCACAGAGGTCTCGCAAGTTCGGATTATAACTCCTGTTGCGGCAGTTAGAATGGACTGTTCTACACACCCTGTCCTCAAAATTAGGCTTAACGACAAATGCGGAAAGTATGGCCCAGTGTGCAGGAAGAATTAGAGCGCTTTATAATATGAGGATAAAATCCAGAATCACGTTTAATGTTTTTTTTTACCTGACTAGCTAGGTAGCTTAGTCCGGGTTCACATTCAGGGATAGGGAGGAATTAGTGCCATCTGAAATTTTACTATTTGCTATACCGATTGCAGCCATAAAACGGTGTATGTGGTACCACAGATGCTTCGGATTCAAATTTTGTCTAAAAATGAGAAAATAAACCTCAGTTAGCAAAAGTATCCAAATAACTCTTACGTCGAACATCTCAATTCTCGATAATTAAAAAAAAATTGCTTGAGCCAGAGTGCTTGTCTACTCATGACGTCTGTCATTTGAAAGTAAAACCTTCTCAACGATTTCCAAGCCATACTTGTGCTAATTATGAAACTTCTTCATAACCTTAAGTGGGTGCCTAATTAATGCCACCCACTCTTCATTACAATGTCGTGTGAAGCCGAGGGTGGCTTGTCCGTCATCCACACTTACATCTCCCAACAGGCGCTCTTGTCTACTTACCGTGATCGCTGTCTGCATCCGCAATCAGTTTGTTTAACTTGGCCCTTTCATGCAGAATGATTGCTATGTATAAAAATCCGCCAATCAGAACAGTCGCTCCAGAAAGCAGAAACGCGATTGAAAAGGTAGACGTCGCTGATACAATCGTTCCTGCAAAATTATGCACACATGTATTACTTTGAATAAATTAAGTAGACCTGCAATTTATTAAGTGAAACAGCCTACCAGCAACAGGGGAGCCCACTGTGCTTGCGATTCCACGAACTAACGTCACAATTCCGTAGGCGTTTGTCAGGGCCTCCAAGTCGAGAATGTCACAAAGAATGATTGAAGTCAGGGAGAAAAAGGGAGCTAGGGGAACAGATAAATTCATTTGCAACACTGTCATAACCCAAATATGCTATCTTCTGAGGCTGCACAAACACGTGAATAATCAAGGCCTCGAATGTGGAGCCTGACAGTTAACATTAATAACTGGTTTTGAGTTGAGTTCTCGTGAATCAGAACATGAGAGATTTCTTACAGATGGCCAGTCCGAACGCCGCCATGAGTATGATCTGACCAATGAGGCTGCTCCAGTAGGGCATGATACAGACGGCGCAGCCCGCAAGAAAGAGAGTCACAGTGGACACCATCGTGGCCGACACATTCGGCTTCCCCGCTGCCCACGAGGACGAAAAACGACTCAGAACACTTGCACCTCCTAAAACATCAATGGAAACGTGGTGAGATATGGCTACTGGTTCACGGAACTTGTTGCAGTCAAACCTCGAGCACAGTTGCTTTTCTACATTCCACACAAACGTCCTTTTGATTAGGTTCAGTGAAAAAATGTCACTCTCTATATGAATCTTTCTCTGCACTGTGCAGACTGTGGATGAGTTGTTTCAATGTCACTTCAGTTTGCCAATAAGCGACACCTCACTCAAACTCTTCCAATTGAAAAGTGGCCACTTGATGGAATTCACTGACCTGCCGTCAATTGTACAATAACAAGGAGAGCCTCAAGTAACTGTCTGTGTGTAAGCTATGTGCGCGTCCCAAAGTGCAATTTATATCAAAAAATACAGCTGATTTTAAACAAACAAGGGGGTATCAAACATTCGGAGTAACAAAATTTCCTAACGAAAGCGTCCCAACCAACACACACTAAATCCATTACGAATATCACAATGAGAGAGTAATTTATCTTTTGGATAAAGGGAACGCATAGGTCCTTACTCATTCACTGTCGCAGGGTGACGATTCTGTGCTATTGGATTTCGTTGAAAACACATTGAAGGCCTCGGCACGTTCGTAATTAGTGGTGACCTCATTTTACAGGCCATTTGCTTCGAAACGCACTAAT